TTTCTCAAAACCGAGTTTTGTGTAAAATATCAATCTCTGTGGATTTTTACTCATGATCGGTTAATGATGGACCAGGTAGCAACAGCGAGTCAGAAAGCGTGAGATTTGATCCTAATATAGACTGCAGGTCATACAACATTTTTTGTCTGAGTACATGGTAGTTCTTGCAATCCTGACGAAAGTGTCTAGCGGACTCTTTCTCCCCACAGGCGCACAAATCGCTGGGAACAAAGTTCCTTTTAAATAGTGCTGCATTAATAAGCGGAAAATGAGTAGCAAACTGGACAAAAACTTTTTCTACTCCTCTCGGAGCGGTGCGCCTTTTAAAATACTTAAGAATATGTTTTTGAAACAACTCCTGCCTAAATTTTTTAAAAGTATTAATTGCCCGTAAGTCATTCATGCTCTTATTATTTCATTCTTCAACACACACCGGTACATATGTTGGCTACTGTTACGACGTTAACAATACTCGGCGTTGGCATCAACTGTCCATCACTTCTCAGTCCTGATCTTTCTTCTGCGATAAAATCTCTTAATTTGCTGTTAACGCCAAGTTTCCAGATCTTACAGAACTACAAAAGTCGATGAATGTAATATAGATCATTAACACTATTCCATCCCAGGAGTGTTAGGATGTTTTCTCCCTTCATTTCCTTAAGGCCTCCCACCCCCCTTCAAAATCGATTTTCAACATGTTGCATGGAATCTTCATGAAACTTTCTACAGATGCTTGACCCATAAAGGTACAAGTGTAAAAAAATTTTCATGGCTCTAGCTCTTTCGGTTCGAGAGATATACAGGTACCAAGGGGCAAAATGGGGGTCCCACGCGTACAAGGATTTTTTCAATACACTTCGAGATGGAGCGCTCGGGCTGGTCTCATTTGAAAGAGAACTCCTTGGTGCTTCAGGTGAGGGAAAGGGCTTTTTTAATTTTGATTTTTTTCTTTGGTGGGACCTACAAAACTTTGAAGTTCTGAGAACCCTGTACAGGATTTTTCATAAAATACCTGATTGCTCATAGATTGAGAGCCAAATAAAAAATTCCTTCTCGTCATCTGAAGAGGGATATATCTCTCTATCAAATAAAAAAAAATCGCAGTTTAACAGAATAAACTATAGTGAAGAAAAATTTGTTCAGAGATTGATATTTTACACAAAACTCGGTTTTGAGAAAAACGATAAACAAGTTTTTTTTGTGAATATTACCGGCAACCAACATAAAAATGCAAGAATTGCGTGTCAGTGGTAAATACACGTCACAGCGCATTGCACTATGATTGTCGCGACGTATCCCGCGATAGATGGCGTCACCTATTGGTCGCTATTGTATATAATAATTATAATATTGTATAAATATAAGTAATAATAATTCTAACTAACTTGAGTTTTTTTACGAAAATCCCATAAAAAACTTAGAGATTCAATAACATCTTTACGGATTTGTAAAGTAGACAACTCAGGCATCATGCCCATGTGTTTATCTCAAAATCCATTTTTTTGACGAAAATCGACTTTTTGGAGGGGGGAGGCCTTAATTGCACCAGTAACAACACATGATGCTGCATATTGAAGCGAAATTATTTTTTGGATATTTTCATCTGTCGTATTCGAATAAATAACATCCGCATAAGAGATTATTTGTAGAATCGAGGTTTTATACAGTATGTTTAACACGTGGAGAGAAAAAATACTTTTTACAAGCTTAAACTTACTAAGGATTTTATTGCAGCGACTTAATATATAGTCTATATGATTATTGCACGACAGATTATATGCTAAGACAACTCCTAAATGCTTACGTTGCAGAACTTCCTGCAAATCGATTCCCTTTATTTTTATTTTATTATGATGGTTATTGTTTTGTATTGAGAAAGTCATTGTTTTACATTTATCAATATTTAACTTCATTTTCCAAGCAATACACCACTTGGAGATCGTTTCTAGATCTCCGGTCAACTGGTCGCCCGCCAGCATCATATTTTTATGCGTAATAAAGGGTAAAGCATCATCAGCAAAAAGGCGTAACTCAGACTCAATGATCTTTCCGTCTATGCACCCTTTATCGTCAATGTAGATTAAAAAAAGAAGTGGGCCCAAAATACTACCCTGTGGCACGCCGCAATTGATTTTCTGAATACCGGATGTTGCTCCCTGAACAAAAGTACAAATAGATCGCTTAGATAACTAGCAACCAATCGAGCAACATCCCAGAGCCATCACATTTTAACGTGTAGAGCAGTCCTGTTATCCATACTTTATCGAAAGCTTTCGATAAAACGAGAAATATAGCCCTAGTTTGGCACTGCCTATCGAAACCTAATGCTATATGATGAACAATACCAATCAATTGTAATACAGTTGAGTGTCGTTTCCTAAATCCAGCTTGAGAAGATGAAAGAAGATTGCTAACATTTTAGAACAAAACATTAAATAGTTCACCATAAACGGCTTCAGATTTACCAGGAAGAAGAGCGTGCATCAGTGGCAGAGAACGTCCACAAATAGAATCATGTATTATATATAGTTGTTAAAAAAGTTGTGAAGCAATCTAGAAAAAAAGGAAAAATTATATGTTTAAGCGCCTGTTCTTAAGCTAACCACAAATCTGCTTAAAGTTACCTTGCATGTACCACCAGCATGCCAATGTTCAGAATCTGATAAACGGCTTAAGTCATCAGGAGATGATAATATAATTATTCTGTAGTCACTGTCTTCATTATCATATAATAAAAACCGATCACCACCATTGGTTACTGTTAATTGCTGTGGAATGCTTATATCTTCGAATGATGTTGGTCTTGGTAAGGGTATAGCATTTTTTTACGCTTGCGTTCAATAGTACATTGTGATGCTGTATAACTGGATATAGCTGTTTCATCATCTTTATGAACTTCTAATAATGCTTCATTTATAATTCGTCGAGGTGGATCACGTGATGCTATTGCATGTTCACTAATTTTTGATTTAAATTCGGCAGCTATTATTTCGTCTGGATACTACTGGTGCTATCAAAAGTTACACGATCAGCACAATTATTCTTAACACAACATCACGTACCTTGACTTTTATTTTGCGCGATGATAACGAAAACCATCAAGAAGAAGTTGATCATTATCTTTAGAAGATTTCGCAATAGACATTTTTAAGGAAAAGTGGGATAGTACAATGAGTGATGTGTGTTCCTTTGTCTGCATATATATATATATATATATTCACAACTCGTTAGGAAGCTAAATCAAATTTTAATCAGCAAATCAATTAGTGTGCTCTTTAATCAGTACTGCCTGATAGCTTGCAAAATAGATATCAACAAAACACACGAGATATTTGTCAAATACGTGATTTTAGTGAATACATGAGATATTAGCAACAAAATTTAGGTATTGGAAATTCACGAGATTTTGGTAAAATACACAGGATACTAGTGAAATACACGAGATATTAGTAAGAAAAAATGGGATATTAGCAAATAAATTCAGAGTGCGGGAGCGGGAGAGGTGTGCAGCATGAGAGTGAGTTCCCAAAAACATTTTACTACTAGACTTAGATATTTCTGGGATATTTGGCTAATATTCCAGATATCTTATTAATATCTCGTGAATTTCCAGTATCTAGATTTATATGCTAATATCTCATGTATTCACTAAAATCTCGCGTATTTTACTAATATCTCGCTTGTTTTGTTGATATGTATTTTTGCGCGATATCAGGCATCCCTCTCTTTAATAGTATCGAACGCAGTCTCTAACGTCCATCTGCTGGAGCTTTAAATGTCGAAGGCTCACTTATCGGGTGGATTAAATATCGGGCGCTCAAATGCCAAGATCTCAAGTATCGAGAGGCTCATCTGTCGAGGGTTCATTCTGTCAGTTCTGTCGTTCAAACGTCAGAGGCTCATCTGTCGGTATACCAAGCACACAACAAGTCCAGTGCTGTAACGCTTCTTGTTTTTAAAGGAAAATCGTTTTTTTCGGAAACTTTTCAAACGCCCGACGTATTCTTGCCTTTACGTCCCTAAATAGCACCACTTACAACACATCCCACTTTATATTGGGATGAAATTAATTTCTGTATATCATAATATGAGAGGAATAAATTACATCACCATAGGATGTTATAGGAAGAATAGGAATTTCTGTCATTTTTCTATCACCGTAAGAAAAATAGAAAATTTCATTGATTCACATTTCAAAATATACAACTTCATTTTCCATATACACAGCGGGTAACTTTTTTAGAAGAAAAGCAGTGGCGTTCATGCTGTCGAGAGATCTTTTAGCAAACATCTTTTTCGGGTGGGTTATCACATCTTGTTGTTTATCTTCTTTAACGGAATATTTGGTGTATCGGCAATTTTCCCAATTTATCTGAGATACGTTTTCAATAGGCTTTTCAAACACTAATAGAAGCAATTATGCTTCGTTTATATTCTTCACTAATGTAATAACTTGACGTTGCCACGCATGAACAGTTATTCGCTGAACTTCCATTCAAAATGAAAATCAATGAAGCAAACTTTTGCGTTATCTACTTAATAAAGGTTAGTTAGTTTAGCAATCAGTTCTTCTTAGACTTCTGAAATCAAATCTTATCATAACACAACCATACGCTTGTCTTGGAAAGAATAAAATTATTTTCTCCCTTTTTACTGTTGATATTTGTCGTTTTAGTTTACATTACGTGTTTGTCGCTAAACGAAAATCTTGTATATTGATATTTATGCATGACAATACGTTAACTGTCAATTGTTAGTAAGCCTTGCTCATGTAGAATAAATAGAAGAGATCGAAAAATATTGATTAAGAACTCACATGCTTTCATATGAAACGGCAGTTTAGAAGTTTTAAATGAGCAAATTGTAGATATCAAGAAACAGAGAAATCGAAAGTACCTCATGTAATACAGATTTTTCTTGACGCTTTATGGTTGAGATACCAATGATTTATCAATATAATAATAATTATCCCGGGATAATTCCCGAATAATTTGCATTGGACAAAGGGCATCCATCATAGGTTGGACCGCCCATGCCCCACCAATTAGGGAATGAAATGCTTTGACTGCTTAAAGCTAAGAAGATGAGAAGACTGGAGAATGCTACACCTATGTCTAAAGCTGCTGATGTCACATACGCGTAACGGTCCCACCAGTCAAACACATATTTCTTGACAACATAATTAAAGACTAAGCCCAGAAATAACCAAGAGACAAAGTTTCCTGCTGGTGCTGGTATTAGATATGATAAACTCGAGAACATAATTGGGAAGTGAACATAATGTAACCAAGATTGTGACGGCCGTTTTTGCAATATCAACCATTGTATGACAGGCAATATGGCACCCAGAGGAAAAAACCAGAATACATTATAATAGGATACATCATTAGTAACAAATGATTTTTGTGCACCCACCGCACCCCATATCACTGAAGCAGTATAAAAAACATTTGGATTTGGGCATTGCCAGTCCTTGCTTTTTGCCGTACATATACCTTCAACACTATCTAATAAGAAAAGACCAAATCCGTAGCTGACAGCACAACTAACGACAGCGGATGATATCTGAGCGAAAAACATTATGCGTGGAGGCACTTTCATATAATGTCCCAATTTTAAATCTTGTATCATTAGTAATGCTTGCACTTGGGTTATATATGTGTATGTTTTGAATGTCCCGTTACCGATTGGGTGACCTTTCATCAAGTAGCCGCCTATAAGTTCTGAAAAAACGTTAAGACCAAGCTGCTGATTCGATAGTGCTTGCACGATACCAATAGGTAAAATTAATATGAATACAAGAATCATAGCGATGAATAGCCAATACCAGGGCATCAAGTCTCCAAAATGACAAACCAAACATGCTACAACAAAATTGACACAAAACACAATAGTGTACCACCATTCAGGTGCTTCTGCGTATTTGGCCATCAACTTAGCGTGCACTTCATTCATAGCTTCTGTTATCGACATATTGAACTGTCTTATAATCTCTTTACCATGAAACAGTATCGTGTGAACAATGCATGCTGTTAGAGCAGCAAATGTTGGTCCATAGGCAAGTGCAAACATCACTGTTAGTCGAATCGTACCATATTGCTTGTAGGCAGTTTCATTTAATCTCGAATTTTGATCCAGTACAACTGTAATGTCATAGAGCGAGCCATCCGCTCGATATAACTCGGTTGTTCCTAGTGGAAATGCTTTTGATCCCCATGTATTTGTGTAGTACATAATTGGAACAACAATCCAGACCAGCACAACAAATCCAAATAGAATATTCAGTTGTGCCCAACCGGGTACAATAATTGGTGAACCTAAAAAGGCTGTTATCGAGCTCCAATCTAGCTGCACCGAACCAACACCAAGCCCACGGACACCCGTTATTTGTGAAAACACAAGATTGGTAGGTTTAAGTAAACAAAGGAATGAAAATGCCGTCAACAATGGAAATATATAACCCGGCAGCCAATAATAAACGAATGATGCCATACTGACGTATAGAAGAAGTCTTATACGACTCATTTTCCAACGAGTGACATTGTTTAATTCATCCTCCTCTTTACTTTCGTGTAATGTGCGGAAAAATGCGCACTGAACTAATGCACCTGGCCAGATCATCCCTGATGGATAAACCAGAAATCGACGTAACACCCCTAGAAAGTAAATGAAATTGTGTGCCATATTGCGTGAACATAGAGGTAAGAGCGACTCAAAAGTCTTTCTAACGAGGAATGTTTCTCTTTTCCCCGGACTCTCTAAAAGGAAAGATATTCTAACGAACCCAAATAGGGTTTAAACTTTTCTCAGCATCTATAAACCTTTTTAAGGTTTCGCCAGTACCCTAAATCCGTGAACAGGAAACACTTGGTCTCCGAAGATTTGTACCTGTTGTTTCACAGTAACTGTGTAAGAATGGGTTGGAGCGCCCTAAGAGAAACCTGAAATTTTGATTTAGTCTTATTTTGCCGTTTCATTTCTACAAAGGATTTTCAAGTTGGTGGACTTCCCTCGTAAGTTATTAGCAAAAATGATTTAGTCTAAAAATCTAAACTCTTTCTGAGACATATCAATGTAAAACTTTCTCGGTTCGTCTTACAGCCACGGAGAACAAAAATTTATTTCCAAAGCTCGAGCTGCATTGAATCATGGATAACACAATAAGCATTGTATCGAGAAATATCCATCCCGATGAAGAGTGAGTTTTAGTCAGTTGAATCAGGAGTTATTGGAGCGGAACTTAGTAAACGACGCGAGTTGTGCATGTGGATCTAATAGTGAAACAGCAGTACACTTTTTCGCAATATGTCCTCTATACAATACATAACGTGCGTTCTGATAAATGTTTTTTAAGTAGTTTTTGATACCAAAAGGATAAATTTTAATCACTTTTTACTGCGTGATAAATCTGTGTTGAAATTAGATAAGGACAAAAAAAAAATAATTTTTAACTCGGTTATATATTATATCATATATATATACAGACGTAATCCCTTTTGCACTAGAACTTAGTGTTTCTCAATGCATCAAACTGTGTACACACCTTCATGTTTTCAGATTGTATCCATTTCATATTTGTGTTATCCTATGTAAGAGAAAATTTACGTTCCTTTTATTGTTCAATTCTATCCCATACACTCTGTATTTCACTGTCTCTATTTTTTTTTCTTCTCTCTCCATCTACGATTCTATGTGAGTGTATATTTTAGTATGTATATGCGATAATCAACTTTTCTTTTTCATCAAGTCGCCAACGATGAAAACCACCTTCAGAAAATGACTTTATCGTAATTGGCGGAGATAAAAAATTCAACGTATTAAAGCATAGTGGCTCTCATCAGTCTTAAAAGATGATTTATATTGTTTTTAAATACTTCTTTCGACTTAAAATCAAGCAGGTAGTAAGTGCATAGTGCGTAACACATATATGTGCTTCGACACCTTTGTACAAAGTAGAGCGTGTTTCTATAGCTACTTCTATAGCTTCTATAGCATAATGGTATATTTTTTGCGTTCTTCTCTCCTTTTTCTTTTTCTGCATCCAAACGTGCGTCGTATAATACAGACCACCCATTAGCACGAATAAAAATACCGAAGTTGATTTCTACGTGAGCGCAACCATTACACCGCAACTGCATAGATATTTATCGCTTTATGCACCTAGGATGTGGGCACTTTTAAGAGCTCATACTTAGTTTTTTGAGATATTATCAGTATTTTCTATCCGTTAAGAGCCGCTACGTTATCTAATTCGATACATTCTGATAAACTAGCGACACTCAAGTGTTTGGAGACCTGATGATTTCGACTATTCTCAACATATAATGAGCCCGCCCGCTATGTTGAATCAAATAAACTATGTTTAGATCAAGGTCAAAAACAAAGGAAAATGACATCAAAGAAGAAAGTGAGAAAAGAAATTTTATATTTTCCAGCAAATGTTCACTGCACTCACTCTAAGTTCTGTTAACTTTACAGACTAAAATAAAATTCACTGGAATGGATCCGTCTCCGTATAAGCCTGTCAAAATATATCAATTAGATTGAAGACTAAGGGAGCGTTTCGAAATGTATTCCAATCGGTCGATCGTTACTGTTCCATCCCGCTGATTAGGACGGTGTAGATACGATTGTTGTCGAATTGCATAAACATAAACGTGTAAAGTCACGTGATAGATAGAAAAGCAATATTTTTAGATTTTAGAATGCATCAGTATTTTCAACTAAATGAGTAATTAACTTTAAAAAGTCATGTATTTTATATTCAGCAGCTGAATAAACTCTTTTTGACTACCATGACTTTCCGGCTTTCTCTTCGGGTCATGATAATCAGAGATAATGTATGTGTGTTCAAACTGTAGTTATTCAGTGAATAATCACATGAATTTTAAGTTAAGAATGAGATAAAGTAGAAATGAAACGGCAAAAAAAAGATTAAATCAAAATTTCATGTTTCTCTTAGGGCGCTCCAACCTATTCTAACACAGTTTAGTGAGTGTTAAATGTTAATAGTGACCATTGATGGTTCTGTCGACAAGTCATTTATTCCTTTTATTTTGCTATCACTACTGGTATATAGATATAATGCTAATTTTCTGGTACTCAAGTATACACGTAAACGACGGCAGCCCGGAAGCAGCAACATTAAGATAAAAATCGCTACTAGTGGTAGTACCACGGTCATGAGAAATCATAAAAAGTAAAACATTTCCAAAATAATATTTTGAACTAATCAGTCAAAACAATCTGTCTTGGACCAACGGTCTGTTAATCAGACATTTACAGATTAATAACGATACCGTTTTCGCTATTCTAGCACAGTGGCCATTCTTCTAGTAGCAGGCGCACATCAGAATCTTTTGCTCATAAAACATTTTTTCATGAATAATTATCATTGCTTAGTCATTTCTTATGCTTTTTAAGCAAAAGTAAACGTTCTCAGAAAAAATTACTTTTTTCAAAAAATCAGTCTTGTTGGTTCATGGGATGGATATTTCCGTGACACGACATTACCGCGAACGACATTACCGCGAGACAATACCGCGAACGACATTACCGCGAACGACATTACCGCGAGCGACATTACCGCGAGCGACATTACCGCGAACGACGTTACCGCGAACGACATTACCGCGAACGACATTACTGCGAATACAAAAAACGACATTACCGCGAATACAGAAAACGACATTACAGTGAACGACGTTACCGCGAAGACTCGTTTATTGGAAAAGAAGAATAAATGAGCCTGGTTTTGTACTTTGTATATCATGTGGAGGGAGGTGGGAAGTGGGGAGAGGGCATTGTGAGAGTGAGTTCGAAAAGTATTTTCACATAAAACATATTATCGTGATGGGAAACTAGATATCTGTGGCTGTATCAGATAATGACTAGTCACCACATAACGTCAGTTAAGTTTGAAGACATGATGTACAAAATACAAAACTGGCCTCATTTATTCGGCTTTTCCAACAAACAAGTCTTCGCGGTAATGTCGTTCGCGATAATGTCGCTGTATCGATATTTCTCGATACAATGCTTATTGTGTTATCCATGATTCAATGCAGCTCGAGCTTTGAAAATAAATTTTTGTTCTCCGTGGCTGTAAGACGAACCGAGAAAGTTTTACATTGATATGTCTCAGAAAGAGTTTAGATTTTTAGACTAAATCATTTTTGCTAATAACTTACGAGGGAAGTCCACCAACTTGAAAATCGTTTGTGGGCCGAAACCTAGTGCGTAATAAGTAAACGCAGGTGCTGATTCCGAATGCCAATATGAGACGTTAGGCCTCCAGAAACCTCAAAAAATCCCCAAAACTTTTTTTGTAATAACTCATAATTGTAGCCCACGAAATTGGAGTCGAAATGAGACATCTCCCAGCTCCACACGACCTTGCTTTGCAAAGTTAGAGAATTTACAGGATGAGAGGGGGTCAAACAAATAATTGAACCTGGCAAACAGGGGTCTGGGAAATCTCTTACCAATGTTCAGGAACAAAAGCGCATCCACTACAGATGCGCTCCATTACACCATCACACATCTGCGGTAACTTAGTTAGCTTTGAAAACAATTTTTTGTACTCCATGGCTGTAAGATGAACCGAGAAAGTAATTCGTTGATGTCTCAAAAAGAGTTTAGATTCTTACTCTATAGCATTTTTGTTAATAACTTAGTTGGACAAAATCAAAAAATAGAATTCAACAAACGGTATTGCGTTTTCAGGCTAGTTTTTTGTGACGGTGTTTTCCTTCTCAGCTAACATCCAGCAGTTATAACGGGTGCTTCAGAAGAAATTGCCCTCTTGGTATTTTCGTCGTTTCTCCCTTTTCTTCTATCGATCTGAGCTACTTCTTTTTGCAAACGATGTACCTTGAAATACTCTACAAAATCATGTCTAAACTATAATTTCAGAACTTCAATCAAGAAAACTAAGTCAATTAGATAAGAGTGGAAAAAAATGAAAACCTTCCAAACTCAAAAATGATTTCTTGTGTTAACGTTTTGAAAGTAAGAAGAACTGAATTAGCCATTTTGTAGCCGTGACTTTGTTTTATCTTTTAGCTACGCTTCAGATTTTTTCACATCAAAAGCCACCGCGAAATAATAGCTTTTCTGTCAGTTGTCATGCATTTTTTTCATTAATTTTTTAAATTTTGGGTATAGTAGTGCTTTGAGTAAAAGTCCCATAGCTCCATCAGAGTAAAAGCTTTTTCGGTCAGGTTTGTTTTGATCAGAAACGATTGCTCTTCTCTGCCTAATTGCAAAACCAAAACTTCAATCATGTTTTCCGTGTCTTGTTTCAGCACATTGTTGGAAACGGGGAAGTTGTCAAATTTTGACGTATTTTTTGTACTTCGTTCTCCAGCACGCCATCAGCTCTAAAAGAAAATTTTACTTTTTTTACAGACCACGTGAAAGAGCACATTTCAAAGTACCAAATACAAACTGAGTTCTCATTCTTGCTACACTTTTTAACGGAAATACTAGGAGAAGAAAAAGTTCAAGTAGAAAAAAATTTTGAGTTTGGCAAGTTTCATTTTTTCCACTTTCATCTAACTGACTTAGTTTTCTTGATTGAAGTTCTGAAATTATAGTTTAGATATGATTTTGTAGAATATTTCAAGGCACATCGTTTGCAAGAAGTAGCTCAAATCGATAGAAGAAAAGGGAGAAACGATGAAAATACCAAGAGGGTAATTTCTTCTGAAGCACCCGTTAGTATTAAGGTATCAAGAAAGTTATTGTAACGCGTTTACTAACGAGTGAACATTCCGAACTGTTCGCTTTCGAGCCGAAACCTAGTGGACTATAGTCAGTCTATCATGCTGACTATAGTCCACTTTGAATATCAACATGAGAC